AAAACAGCCCCATTTCAATGGGGCCGAATTGACCCTAGGCGAGTACCAAACTGGACTCACTCGTTTTGGCCCCATTTTTGGGACCAAATCAACTCTTTTAATTTTACAGTGTATAATGAGAAGCTTATTTAGGAAATGATTTCAAGATTAGGTGAAAACAATTTTTTCAGAAGTAATCTGTAGTCTGAATGTAATTGTAGATTAATTATCCACATTTACTCATATATTTTGATGCGACAGTTCAACCAATCTGCTACAACTATCCTACCATCACTAAGAATTGCTGTAGATGTTGGATTGTTGAACTCTCCTGGCCCACTCCCTTGTTTTCCAAACTTTGTTATAAACTTACCACTCAGTTCAAATACCTGAACTCTGTCATTGTTTTTGTCACAGACCATCAGGTGTCCTGCCTTGTTAACTGACAAAAAACGGGGTGAGTTAAACTCCCCGTCCCTGTTCCCCTTATTTCCAAATTTGTACAAAAAGTTGCCATTTATATCAAACACTTTGATACAATTTTCACCAGCGTCTGACATTATTAGATATTTTTCATATTGAATACAGTGAGAAGGAGAAGTAAAACCCTGCCCTTCACCTTTACCAAGTTTATACAAAAACTGGCCACTGGGAGAAAAGGTTTTTATAACTTTGTTGCCCGCATCGGCAACAATGATATTTCCATTCCTGTCGACAGATAAACCAAAAGGACTCTTCAGCTGATGATCAAGATTTCCTTCATCACCAAACTGGCTCAGGTACTCACCCTGCTCATCAAACAATTGAACTCGGTGGTTACTATAGTCTACTACTATACTGCGTCTATTTTTATCAAATGCTATCCCAGCAGGCCAATTTAACTCGCCCTGTTTATCACCCTTTCTACCAAAAGATCTTAAGTAAGTTCCATCACTACTGAATACCTGAACCTTGTGGTTACCACAATCAGTCACTGCAATTTCATCTCGTTCATTCACTGCCACTCCATATGGACAGCATCGCATTCCAACGGACGAGCCTTGTTTTCCAAAAGATAACACGTGTCTGAACTGTCTGGGTTTCGATTTGATAGGAAATGGACTGCCACAAATGTGTTCTTCATTTATTTTCACTGATACTTGGCATTTTCCTGTATCTTTGAGGAAATATCTGACTTTGTAGCTACCATCTCTCTCATCTTTGAGTCGCACTTCCGTCGCACAGTCATGGCCTTGCTGATTTTTTATTTCCACGGTTACAGAGTCACGCTCATCGTAACATTGTTCTCCTTCGGCATTTCTCGTTTTTAACAAAAAGTTTGATTCAAGTCCAACAATCGCTTCATTGATTCCTTTCCCTTTGGCAGATGACCGATCAGCGCAAGTGTTTGTCACATAAGTTTGAAATGAGCCGATGCCGTCAGAGTTAAGACTGTCAAGTAATGTTTTGTTTTCTTTGAAACGGAATGGACGAAGACCTTCAAGATCAGATGCGGCTTGTTTTCCAACATCGCTGACTTCCTCAGGTAAGACTGTATTCAGTGACGTATCTATCTGTGTAATCTCAGCATTTGTACATCGTTTTAAAAGTGTTTCAGCTTTTTCGACTGCTGTTTCCAGCCGTTCGACTCGACGCTTTACCTCGCGTTGTTGAGTTCGCACACATCCAAGGGATTCTTTAATTTGTTTATCAGCTTTGTTTAACATTTCCTTCTTCTTTGTTTCAATAACTGCGACCAAGTTTTGGGCAAAGTTGTGGATGTCTCGTTTCACTGCATTGCCTCGCGCTTCAATTTGGTTACACTGTCTTTCAAGATGAGCGATTA